ACTGTAGAAGGGTTAACGTAACAAATCACCTCACGAGAGCTCGAAATACGTACGTATTCCAGTAAGGTAATGTGGGCGTGTTGTGTCGCGTGTACACCGAGGGACAAAGTGTTCGACAAGAAAAGGGGGCGGCGGAGGAGGAGTCACGTAATAGGAAGCGCGATTTGCTCGCGCTGGTCTGCTCGTCGTCGCGTGTCAGTCGAGGCGAAATCGCGGAATATGTACCGGCCACGATAGCGAAATAGCTCGTAATCCGAATATATGAATACCATTAAAAACCAGGCTCAAATCAACCGTGGCGAAATGTTTAATCGAGCCGACCAGCACGTGGATCGTTGACGGATAAGTTCGAGGTAATTCGGCCACGGTTCCTCGTCGTTTCTTTCATTTCCGTTTCTTTTTTTCCTTTTTTCAGTACCATCCCCATTTTTCTCGTTACGTATGGACATTGCACCAACCCCTTCTCTCTATCTGCAGTCGTGGTTCGTTTGTTCGTTAGTCTGTTCCCGTGTGTCTCTCTCAGAAAGCAATGTCGGTGCGCCCCAGTGGCCAATTAATCGCTCACGCTCCGCCGCGTTTCTGCTCGATTTGTTGATCGACTCGCCGATGGAAAAATGGGAAATCTGGGCGCCACGTGGAGGCGTCATCCAGCCAGAAGGATAAAACTGTGTCCTCGAATCCCATCCTCCCTCGTAACCGGTCGCACGACTTTTCGTCGTTATTTCTGATCGTTTTGCTGAACGGGTGACTTGTACATAGACGTCGCTTTGGCAACGGTAGCAACTCTTTGAATCCGTGTTTATCGGACCGTTTGGTGGATGGCTGGTTCTGACGGATTAGGACCTTTATCGAATGTGAAACATCCGTGTGTATGGCGTTACAGTGACGATACGAATGGAGGAAGATATTTGTGCGACTTTGCTTTGAAAAGTGATTCGATTTCTTGGGATAGTTAGTTACCGGTACAGAGAGGGTAGTTTACCTCGAAACACCTGAATCACACGATTTTCTCCGAATATTATAGGTGTCCTGATAGTAATGAACTAAATAGAGAATTAATTTTCTTTGAAGTTCCAAAATCGAAACATCATCATTTTCGATATTGCAACTCTGCAAATTGTTAATGTTTGTAATTGTTGTATTTCACGTAGAAATACCTGCAAATGCCTGTAAAATTGAGAACGATCATTCTCCAATTTTTGAACAATTGCCTCTAACTGAGTCAAAGTTACCCCAACATTCAGTACTAATTGTCCACGCGTTCTCTCTATGAATCTATTAAAACAGCTGAAGCAAGAAATGACTATCTTCTTAGAGACTCGTGGACATAAATTCGAACGGTTGTGCTACCCTTGCAAGTCCCCGCGCGTATCCCGTCCGACAGGTTTCATTCGCGCCTCGACGCGTAAACATAATTACGTTTATTAGCGGCGTTGACGAAGGGGGTCTAACGAAGATCTCGTTGACGGGCGTAATGACGCGTTAAAGTCTTTTAATTCGTCGAGGCGACACAATCGAGCGCGTCGCGCTCATTAGATTAATCAACCAGGGGGGCGCAGCTTCCAGTCTGTGTTTTTGATATCACCGAAAGCAGACTGGACTACGTAGCGACAAAGACAAAGAGTAGGGTACGAAGAAAAATGAAGACCGGAAGAAATTAAAATTCACTTCCCGCTGACGCTCTTTCGACGATCCCTCTTAAAAGAAATCTTAATCCATTAAAAGCTACGTTCGCGGAAGTCTCTTTGTCCTCATTGTTCTTACATCTTCGTCGTTACGTTCAGCTTCCTGTGACGCGTTTCATTCAATCAAACCGACTGGTTTAGTACTTAGTTTCCCAAACTTTTTTGGCTAACCACACCCCTTTTCAAAGTTTTCTTTTATTGTTCAGTGTCCCCCGTTCGAGTAAACAATCTCTATATTATTCAAATTGCCAATTATAGTTGGGCATGTAACCTTTGAATCTTAAAAAGTTAAATTCTAATTAAAGGAAATAAAATAACCAGGGCGGCCTCCCTCAGATCTCAACGCCCACCGGAGGGTGGTAGCGACCACTTTGAGAAGCTATAGTTTAGTAGAACTGTAAACAGTGTTTACATGGACGTTTTGGAATTTCACGAAGGAATCTACAGAGGTGTGTCGAAAAAGTGAACCGTGCTAACTAATCGATGACGCCTGGCGTCTCCGTGTTCTCTCATGTCGAAGAACTAGGCAGCCTCCCCACAACCTCCTTTTTTTTCTCACGCGCGTCGTTGGTTAAACACTGCAATATTTAAAGGCGACCACATTGTCGGACACGCGACGCGGCCGTAAAAACCGTCGAGGACACACGTGCGTTCGCGCGCGCACGACCGAGCGACCCGTTGGTGCCGAGAATACCCGCGCGAAATTGTGGTTTAATGAACGGACGTTTCATAAGGGAGCCCGGAGAGAAAAGGAACGTCGAGCCCCGTCGATAACGCGTGTGGCTCGTGCTTACATGCGACGTTGCATTCTACGGGGACGCGGAAGTGCATTCTTTCATTTTCTTTTTTTTTTCTTTCGTCAGTCGACCTGGTACAGGTGTGCAATTGAAAAGCCTGACTGCGAATGTCGGTGAAAGAGGACTCGTGCATTGGCGTTTATCCAAAGTGATTGTTTTGGGAATTCCATCTTTCGGAAGGGAATGGTCCTTTGTTAACGCTAACAAGATCGTTTGTTTTTAATTACGTTATTGATTGAAGTTTGAGGGAAATTGTAAATTGAAAAAACGAATGGAAAGTGTCTTTGAAGAAAACACATTTACGAAGATGAGAAATAGGTTTATCTTTTGAATTCTCGGACGATTCAAGTTCAGAAAGATACAATCCGGATAGATTTTTATCTACAATAGAATAATTGCATTTTCTATTGGTAACTTGTAGAGAATGGGAAGTCTATTTTTAGGCTCCAGAAGGATCGCTTACTTTTCGTAGTATAACACTATAGCAAATATGTAAAAGTTCTAATTCGAGAATACATAAACTCATGAAAATACCTGCCTGTTCTCTGAACTTTAAGTAATTACGTGAGTCTCCTAAATTATTAGAAGAATCTACGATATTCGTTCCTCCTGACACACTCTGCCAAATGTCATCCAAAGAGCATCGCATAATATGTAATTAGGCCATTATAGTGCATATAATTAGCCCAGTGACATTTTCCTCCGACCCCGTTTACCGAAAACTTTTGACTGATTATCCCTTCCGGTCCCCTGTCGAGCGTAAACTCAAAATCAAATTTCATTCCGGATCTCTAGCGACTCGACCCTAAACTGCGCAGCAGTTCGAAACGGGGCCACTGGAATGGCACTCGACGTCGCGAATCCATGACAGTTTGATCTTTCTAATTACGCAACGGGTCGGACGATAGCAATTAAACGGAAGCCCAAAGGCGGAACGCGTTGACTCGCGTACGAGGACTTCGTCGCTTCGATCTTCAAACCGTCCTGTATGCCGAAGCTGAATCAATTTTCACTCGTATCTTTCAAAATCATCTGAAAAAAAAACTACGAAATTCTACAAGAAAAACTAACAACACGATTTCCACAAAGAGTTCGTTCAAAGGTTCTCGAATGAAAAAAAATTTCATTTCAAGGTTGAAAGTGTTCAACTTAGCGAAGAAGTGTATCGAGCGTCGTAGAACTCTAAAAACCCGTATCCCGACGACGTGAATACTCGCCCAGCGATTGCGCTTCAAGGGAACCACGTTCGCCTCACGTTTTGAAATGCAGATCGTTCGGATTTAATAAAAACTCGTTTGACGTCCGTGGACTCAGTGTATGCAAAATGAAATATCGAACGCGTTCTTTATCGTGCCCAGTTTCTGTACGAGTAACGATCATCCGAGTGGATACTATGACAGAGTTATGAATGAGCATTTCAGTGGGTCAGGTAGTTAAAAAGGGCCAAGAGACCTTCCTAAGGGACGTATTACACAGCGACCCTATTCCAAATTAGTTCCCGGTGATTAGTTTCCGAAAGGTCTGACACTCTAGATCCCTGCTGGGTCAGCCATTTAGCAGACACCTGTCTCTGTCGCTTTATAATTTACGATTTTTACCTTACGGTTGAACGTGTAGAAGAAAACTTCGTGTATTTATTTGAAGTTTTCGAGATAAATCGTCATTGAATAGGCTGATCGTGTCGTCCTGGATTCCGATAGTTGCCACACGACGCGACAACCGCGGCGATAGCGGGGAACGCGTGGTGGAAACAGTTCATAATTAGTCATCCGTGGGTACATACAGAGAGCAAGAAACGTTATTGTCGCGAGAGACAGTGAGATTACGGCGTTGCAACGAGATCAGAAGGAATTTCCATCACGACCCGGGGTGATTCACCGGTGGTAACAATAGAATCCTACTTTTCTATCGATAAAAAAAAAAAAAAAAAAAAAAAAAAAAATACGTTCACGATTACGTATGGAGGAGATACATCACGGAACGATAACGACGCCAGGAGTGGGGCGATTTATCAAATCTGGTAGCCCCACGCCGCGTCGACGAAAAATCTGCTCTCGACCCGTGGAAAAGAAAGCGAGATAGAGGGGAGGAAAAAGGAATCGTTAGAATCTACTTTTCCGAGGGTGGGGGTGAGTTCGAGAGACGGGTCGAGGAATCTGACCATTTTTCTGTCGTTCTTACAGCAAGCAGAGCTGGCGTCGAACCGGGACGGAGTATAGAGGAATCCGGAAAGCTGGCTGGGATGCTCAACGACGTCGCGTGGCATCATGGGCGTAATTGGATGCTTCCGCTCGAACGAGGAGAAATAACGACGATGACATCGTAGTGGGACACAGGAGATAGTCGTCTTCGCGAACGGGTGTCTGATGACGACCAGTGGTAGATCTTCGACAGTTCGACCCGTGAAAGTGTTGATCCTGTCAGGCAGGATGACCGACAGAATCACGTAGTGTTGTGTGGTGACAGGTGTGCCCTGCGACACTGGAGTACCTAATTGTTCTTTCTTCAGTCAGTGCGACGGTGTTTGTGAAATTGTGCGTGTGTTTTGACGACTGGAGGATCATTGGAGGATCGTTCGAGCACAGTGTGATTGGATTTCATTAGGAATCCAAACGTGGCAGACATGTCGAGACTACGTCCCGGTCGGCTTGGAGTCGGATCACCTGGTGCCGACTAGGGTACAAAAGGTGGTGTCTCAAGACAGCAAGGAAGAAAAAAGGGGGCTAGGAATAGGTGGAAGAAGAGGCTGGATCGCGAGTCGAGGCGCAAAATGGGAGCAGCCTGGCGGGAATTCGTGCTGGGAAGCCTGATCCTCGGACTCCTCTGGAGCAGCCTACTGAAGGGTGTCCTGACCAACTCGACGAACAGGTGCGACTACCCGCCGTGCTTCTGCGACCACCACGGCCGGCTGACCTGCGACTGTAAGGAAGAAGGAGAGGTATGTCCTGTCATAAACCTAACTAACCCCGAACCTAACCTTTTTATCGCGCGATTACCATCGTCCCGAAAGTACAGCTCGAATGGTGAAATAAATAAAACTATCCAGAGAAAAAGAAAAAAAAAGGATGACTCCTAGGGTTTCAGGAGGTTTTAAACCTCGTAGAACTTCTTGTACCTACCAGGAGAATCGTCTATCCTTAGAATAGCAGACATATACTTAGGTTGGTCGGGCGCGAAGTAGCCTGTACGTCTTTAACTCAGCTCCCTTTCGCTTTCGTCGATTTCATTTCTAGCTGGCGGCCCAGGAGGGCCGTCCTCCCAATCGCCGTCTCGAATCTCCCAACCTGGGCTGTTTCCCTCCTCCGAGGGGAACACTCAGCTTCAGAGCCATTCTCTCTCTCCCCTTCGTTCCCACGAATTCATTCAGAAACCACGACTGGTCGTTCCTATCCGACGAAAAATCGCGGACAATGCGACACCGGGGGCCCGCGACGGGATCCCCTTTTGTTCACCAGGCGAACCTTATTCCATCTCCGAATTATCGGGGAAAGATAACGCGAGTGGGGATCCAGTCGGTGCGCAAGGGATCTCCCGTGCATTATTAGAGCATTAACCTACCCTATGCAAAGAGTTGTGCAACGTGAAATCGCCGCCAGTGTCCATCATCGCGCGCCCACTTGACAAGCGCGATGATATAGTGAGACTGCAAGTAGGGGTTGTCAAAATACAAACGGAAGGACAGAATGGGGGGAAGCCTAATCTCACAGGGTCCCCCTGTTGTAAATTGCGAGGGCGTTACGGGCCGGTTCACGCGGACAGAGAGGGCAAAACCTCCATAAATTAGAGCGTGTTTACGCAAATCTTAGGCCAGACATCGGCCTGGCTGGCAGGTAAGGTGCCGAGGCCGCCTGTTCTCCTCCTCTTTTCACCTGCCACAACGTCCCCCCCCCCCTGTTCTACTCTCGCACAATATATAATACGACGTACACTGACTCAGGTACGTACACATCCCGGCCCCGCCCGAGGAGAAATGCTGCGCGTCGAGAAAAATGGCACCCCCGCCCCTGACGGATCGCGGTCACGTGAACGTGGACATCATTCACCTGGGTTCCAATTTTCCAACCTTTCTCTAGCTGTCCCGTTTTCCCACGCTTCTGGATACGATTTTTGTCGTGTTCGATTGCCTCTGTGGACATTGGAAGACGTAGCTTGAAGGTCTGAAAGGGTACTTGGAGATCTTAATGGCGATTATTGCTGAATGAAATACTGAATGACGTTCTGAACACGTGATCGAGAAGATATTCATATCTACAATGCTATCACCGTGTCCTCAGATGACAGTAATATTAAATAATTAACTGTGGAGACTGACGAGCTATTATCGGAGTTCATACCATCCAGAAGTGAAACAAGTTTGCCAACCTATTAAAAATTCGAGCAGGTATTTAAAGAATGTATTCAACACCTAGAACAAGGCTCGGGAGAGATATCGATTTTAGAGAGGAATTCACTCAGAATTGAGCACCTAGATGATGAAGCATAAAAGTTGAATGGGTATCTTACCAATTCCGGACCGACTCGACAGGTATGCATGCAGGAGGGAACACGGGCCTCGTTTTCCGCCAGTCCGGCTGATGCAGGAAGAGGATTCAGCAAATTTAACAAACTTAATGTTAACACTAAATTTAACGCTTACGGGAAGCGAGTAGTGTGTAATCGAACATCTTGCAAGCCACCATCGGGTCTAACTTTATCGAGTGGCTCTCGAGGTGGGATCCGTTATTACACTCACGAATTTCAGTACACAATCGGCGGTATGTTTATCGCGTGTCCTTGGATACGTGCTAACGCAGTTGTGGGGCCAAGATAAAGCGTTCTTTGTCCCTCGGGTACAGGTTTCATAGTTACGCCATCGTACAGTTTGTCTGTGTGCACAATGCCGTAAACTCGATCCGTAAAACTCTCCTTGTCCCGTGACGAAATAACTGCGCGCGGGAGGTAAGAGACGCGGGCAACGGTTACGTCGTGGAAACCAATCGGCGCGCGGTCGGTACTCGGCCATTTCCCTCTCGTTGTGTCCCGAGGATCATCTCGAACAATCGGGGAAGATCGATCACGAGAGTCGTGTCCTCGAGTGAAAAGATCGAACGAGTTCGGTCAAGTGAAATCGCCGCCGACGAGACACTCTCGAGGCGACTATCGATTGGAGATTACATAACCTCAAAACCCGCATAAATCATACGCGTGGTGGTAGTTGCGGAGACAGGTTTCGCCCAGCAGACTTTCCGTGCACACGTTTATGTTTGGTCGAACGGAAGGTCGGTCATCGAAGACGAAATTTACCGTTTCCTGTTCTGTCCACTGGCAAGAAATCTATTCGACGAATCCACGATATATAGAAGCGTAGGCGCCGGGTGTCGCGTGCGCGGGAATAACGGAAGTGGTCGGAGGTCCGTGGGTTGGATAAGTTACGGATCGGGTGTCGTATCGATGATCCGTGGCTCCTGGATTCTGTGAAACTGTAACCGTGTTGACGATGAACCTCAAGGCTGTACACCGGTGATTTCGAGTTTTCGACGATTCCCTGAATCGATGTTACTCATCGATATAGAAATGACAGACAAATACACCACTCAGTGTAACCAGTTTGAAAAGACAATTGGAATCGACGTTGGATGAATAGGGAGCAGAAAAAACACCATTTATGACGCTGTCTGTCGCACCTGGGCAAAAGGAGTGAAACAGTGAGAAAGGCACAATATATTCCGCGAACTCGTTTCTCGAAAATCTTATCCAGCAGCCGAGAAGAAAAAGACGGACAAGGTAGTGGGGGGCAGAAGCAAGAGAAAGAGGCGGTAAGTTCTATAATGCATACCGGTGCTGCGGCGCGAGGTTCTACTGTGGATTTCGCATAATACAGACGGCGTTTCAAGAACACGCTCAGCCAATTTGTCGCGCCGTCGACCCGTGACTGCGAATATATCGGGAGAGTGGACGCGTCTCGTAGTCCGTCTCTCGCGTTTTCTTCGCCGGATTTCCATTTGCCCTGCTCATATCGGGGGGCTTCTTACTCGCACCCGTTATCGTCGTGAACTCACGTAAAGTTATAACTTACGACTCCGGCCATCGTCCAGGTCGTAATTGGCGAGAACAAAACAGCAGCAATGAAGGAGCAAGTACGAACGATCGTCGCGAACTCGACAACATTTCTGGTTGACATTTTTTGTTTTAGGGTTAAGACTGGTGATGGGCGATACAGAATTGATACTTCGAATATCGATACTTTTCAATTCAAGTATCGATACTTAAACCATAAATACGAAAATTCGATACAATCGCTGTATTTGCAACGTAATACAGTAATGTCTCGATGAGTGCGACCTACTATGTCAAGGCGGAAAGGTTTTCAGCCCTTCATAAATTTGTTTTTTACCCGAACCCGAGCCTTTAGCTTCTGTTTACTCTGTTTTGATTGATTCCCGATGGAATCCCCAAAGTGGTGAAAATAACGCCACGTTGCTCGTGTCGCATTCATAGAGGAGTTACTGTACATCGCTGTATTTGCCTAACGTAACAGATTACAAAGAAAATGGACCGACCGCGAGCTTCCCATAAAGTTTGCCATGCGTTGATTTCTTTACCATACTGTTATTTGATAATCTGCTTATATTAATGATTTATTTTAATTTTTTGGTTTTATTACTTCTAATTTAATTGCAAGTATCGATACCGATAATATCAATATTTTCTTTCCGATATATGTACATGTGCATCGATACTCTAAGCATTAATACATATCGATACCAAATATCAATACAATTCAAATGTGTCGCCATCACTAGTTAGGACCGATACTTCACGCGGGAGAAAAAGCCACGGGCCGGACAGTTACGTGGCGTTGGTGAACGCGGGCAAAGTTGTTAACCGCCCCAACGGTCGGTGAATAATTGACGAGCCTGTAAATAATTGAGGAAACCTTTTACCGAATACCATGGCTTAAACTCGCCCGCTTTCCCTGTAACGAGAGACGACGAAATAAGGCCACGAGAGGACGAAATAAAAAACGAAAGGCAGCCCGATGTGTAAGTAACAGTAGTAAGCAGATGGGGGGGTGCACGTAAGGGCGCCATTTACCGAAGGAAAAGGTGCTCGGTTATGAAAATACTCGGAAAATGGAAGCACAGCGGTGGAAACTGGCTCCGAGTACGAAGTCGTAGAAAGGAACGACCGTTTTGCAACCTCGAAAACGCTGATTCGCGAGACGATTATCGTTCGGGGACATTTCGCAAAGAGCCTGTGAAACCTGGAAGGCAATAAAAATAGAAATTAACCGTTACAATTAAATGTAACGAGTTATTTTCACTCTGTCCTATTTCATTTCTTTTCTGTTCCTTATACATTTCTTATTTTTATTTCGAACTTTCCTTTATTTCACGTCAGAATGTAAATCGCTCGTTACGTCTAATCCTAATGATTACTCCCACCGATTTTCGAAAACATTATCATCGATCCACTTCGAAGTTACAAACGTGCGACGATCAACGGCAATTCGAAGCGGGACGAATCCATAAATAGAAAAATTCAAAGAAAAGGCAGGGCAATCGCGAGAATACGAGATAATGTCGAGTGGCGCAGTTTCCCGCGAACGGATCCACCCCCGCGAAGGAAATTGTTTTGCATAAATCCTTTATAGATCGTAAAAGACCCTCTCGCCGCTTCCATTCCTCCCCACGGCTTCTGTTTCACCCTCGAGGCTCGACTCGCCAGAACCACTGCGATGATTCCATGAACCGAGGGCTTAATCCGCCATTTACGTCGATTCCATTTTCATTTCGAGAAGCAGCTCGAGTAATTGCACCCCCAGCAGTCGTCTCTGAAACTCGTCGAAATTGTCGAAGCGTTCCTGCGACTCCCAGAGCCAAGTATAATTTCATTAAACCAACTTCAATCGATGATCCCGCCGTCCTAATCGACGTCTATTCCCAACTGGGGATCGAACGAACACACGTGTATCGTCGCATGAGAAAATAATCATTTCTCTCTTTCTCTCTCTCTCTCTCTCCATCTCTGGAAATCGTGTACACACCATGGAAAATTTGTTTTCGATCCCGCAGGGGATCACCGATCTGTGTACACCAGAAAACGATCCCCCGACGCACGAGGAGTCGCGCACGCTTTTCCTTTCCCCTTTTGGTTCACGGTTACGAACGAACCGACACGTCTGGAGAATACAGAGAGCGAAGACATCGGTACGCCAGACAGAATTACACACCACGAAAACTGCGCCGAGCGCGTATGTGCCTGGCGAATAAAAGGCGAACCGTTAAAAAGGAATATCGCGTCGCCCGTTTGTTCTACCTTGCTCCCTTCCCCTCGATCCACCCTTGTCAGCCATCCTCTCCACAGACGCCTCGTATTATGGGGGAGGACGCGAAGGAACAAAACTCAGATTCCTATAGTGGCCCTCGAAACCTGTGTGTACCGCGCAGAGATCGTAAGTTACCGAGCACCTACACTACGACTCGCTTGCGTTATCGCTCTGTCTAACCTTCCCGTTCTTCTTCAAGCGCTAGACTTGTAGATGTGATCAATTTAAACGGACCATAGACAATACAGTTTATTGTACAACTGACTCTAGGTACAGCATACGTTACTTCAACCCTTGAAAAACAGGTTGAATACAGTAAACCCTCGATGAGTGTTCGAAGGCTCCTCGGCAATGACAAGAAGGAATCCCTAGATGTAAAGCTGACTTTTTAACAAGGTTCAACACAGAGATAGAGCTTGGAATTCTGAAGCCAATGACATTTATTTCAGCCACATATGGCCATTAGTTTATGAAATATTTAATGTTCAGTGCCAAGGAGCCTTCGAACACTCATCCAGGATTCACTGTACGGTCTGCTAAAAATCTGTCGATCTGTCTTTCCAACTGTCTATGCAACTCTATCTGCAACTTGTACAATAAATTGCATCGTCTATGGGACCCTTTAACCAATGATAACAGTTCGTGTGACTGGAGGTGGTTCAGGTAATCTGATTCGTCGACAGCTTAAGATCTCTGCATAGTACATTCCCTTCACCGCCCATTTTTCCCGCTCACGTATTCACAAATACTCGAGTATTACCATGATCGTCGAAGTACTACCTTAATGAAAAAAAGATCCCATAAACGGAAACGCTTACAGTCGGTGGTAATTGTTCCCACTCCGTGAAGGACAGAGCCGGGGCGCGAAGACAAGCATTTCGACCGGGTAATCTTCTGTCCACAGCCGGGGTGGTATTGTGTGTCGGGAATTGGCTAGGAACAAATGAGACGGGGGAACAAAGGTTGGACAGGGGACGTTGAAACGCGTGGATACCTGAGAAAAGGGGGGTGGCACAAAGAGGGTTTCGCTTTTATCGACGACGACGCGCAATACCGCAGCCCTTTAGTTTCGTTCGTACCTTTTTTTCGCCTATTCAGGTGTACTCTCCGTTTCTCTTTCCCCCTCCCCATCTTCCATCACGCCGCTGGCTATGTTTCGGTCCCGGTTCGAAGTCGTTCTCGCGCTAGCCAGAGAGGATAATGAATACTGATCGTTGACTGCCTTGAAACGCGTCTGTGTTTCTCTTTCTTTCGAGTCACCGAAAAAATCCAACAGAGATTATTCTACCGCGTGCACAAAGAAACTGGGTTCACTCCAACCCGTGGGTCAGCTTAAAAAGGTTTCTCTTTCGCCGGGAACCAGATACCTTGCCTCTGGGATTTGAAACGCATTTTCAAACGAGCTTCTCCGGGATAGTGCACTATGCTCTGGATTTGATTTCCGCGACGAGTGAACACGACGTGTTTCTCGTTTTTTCTTCTTTTTTTTTTTTTTTTTTTGGAGCGGTACGAACGCGTGTGCCATGATTCTTGGAGACCCGTGTGACGCGTTTCAGATAACGCCACGGAGGGTAAACGATAGCTCGAAGCGAAATTCAACCGTATTTTTGGCCAGCCTTTTTTAACATCCTTTCCGTTTCATCTGGAGAGTGTTGGGATATTGTTGTTGGAGCGAAAGTTTGTTGATAACAAAGTTTGGAGTAAATGTGTAGCCAACTGTAATCTGGGCAAATGGCGTCGCCTGAGGAGAAACGCGAATAGGAATTAATTAACGCGTCTTTCACACGTGGTACGGGAATTTGACGTAATATCAAAGTGTATTTCAAAAGTGATACCAATGGAGCGCTTTAAAATCGAGTATCTGTATGGAAGACAGTACAGAACTTTTATTTAACCCCTTACGATTTTCTTGACGTATTTACTCTTCAGAACTACTATATTGTTACTAGCTTTCCAGACACAAAATGAATTCTATACTTGATACAAGTGTACATTTACTCTGAAATGTTAAATATTAATACCAGCAGCATAGTATCAGCTTGAACGGAAATTTTGTGCTCTATTCGAAATTCCACTGTACTGTTTTTACAGAAAGTGATGTATTTAATCAATAACGTAATTTCCATCAATCTTTCCTACCGATCCACGTGTTTTGTAATACCATTTTCGTAAAATTTTTATGGTACAGACACCTCACCAAGGACACATAAACTTTCCATTCAACCAAATATTTTTCTTCAACTCAAAGAAAACAAACAATATTGTTTATTGAATGCTATATGGAAATCGTTACCACGAGCCTGTCGCGATATTATAACGCAAAGGGATGATTTCCCTCAACCACCAAACGGAACTCCAGCAAGAAAATATTTCTCACTAACAATATCATTCGTCTCGCAACAGGAAAAAAAGCAACACGCAGTATTCAAGCGTCATCGTTGATTCAATGAATCACTGGGGGGACATCGACGAAAATCAACGCGACACCGATTACCAAGAAGCGACGTGTTATCAAGTCCTAGTTAGCAAGAAAAACGCGATAATCCACGAGGCGCACGTGTCCTCGTGTCGAACGATATCTCGATCAGAGCGGTGCTGGTCAGGTATGCGCGAGGTGTTCGTGTCGCCAATCGATTGTTTAACATACACGGAGCTCCGAGTGCCAGGTGCCACCAACTAGGATGCTTTGCGCCACGAATGAATTAATAAAGACAGAGAACGGACAGGGACAGATGGTTACAAATAACGCGTTTGGATTACGTCTGGGTCAAAGATGGGCAAATTCATTATCTAGATAAGGAATTTCAAATAACGAATGAAAGATAAAAAAGTACTTCGCTATTTTTAATTGATTAAACGTGGAAATTCCAATGTCTATAATGAAATCACTTCTTGAATGAAGAGGCTCTTCGCAAACAATTATTCAATCCCATTGACTCATTAAAGTCAAGATGACGTTCTTACATACTAATGCTTTTCGTTATGTATTATTCAAATAAAATTGTGCCCAACTCTGGTCTGTGGGTTAGGTCAGAAAGACCGTTTGTGTCCAGGACGGAATTCTCTCTTCCGGTTTCGGGTGTGTTTCTGACAGTTCGTGTACCACCGCAGACTCTACTGGTAGACAGGATTGGAATCTTTTACCAGGGAGTCCGCGAACCAAGTTATAAAACCTGTTTCCGCTGTTCCTCTGCGTTGGACGTGATACACGCACGCAGACGGGGACTATCCGCGGAAAAACGATCTGGACGTTGACATCGGTGTGACTTTGTACCCGTACGAATGGACGCGATTAAAGTGTAGGCGAGCACGTGTCGACGAACGTTTCAGAACTGTACACCGTTGTCGGTTATCGTCGCGACAGAACGTTGTGATAACGGCAGAAAAAAGGTGGCAAGTACGGAAGCATTCCGTGACCGTGGTCCGTTAACGTTTAGGATTTTCCGTGGGACGAACGCTTAAGAGAGGAAAAGTTATAAACAGCGATTACGATAACGATATTGGACTGGTTAATTGGCGACACCGGAGGCACGCGGCGGCTTTCCGACGATTAAGCCGCCCGAACGACGACCATTTAGATCAGTTCCAAGCTTTTATTAATGGCCCCCGGTGCATCTGATTGCAAGGGAAACCGCGACGGTTGCATAGGGTTTCCGTAGTTTTTGTGACTCTGTGCTGGATAACGATTCCATCTGGCGAAACTGGAACGCTGCTTATTCTTATTAAAGAACTTTCTCTATCGCGATTCTAATTACGAACACAGCGGGAAAACTTCTCTAGAAACGAATGGAAATTCCCTGGAATACTCTAGGGACTCGATGCAGGTTCTGTTAGGAAACTTGTATCGAATTTGTTTACATACCACACAATCCCCCATTCACCGAATCCCTTCGTGACTTCCCCGTGCCAATACAATTTTTGATTTCCTAGAACAGGGAAAGATTCCATTTGCGACTTCAGCGTTCATTCAGAAGCTAGCCGGTTTCGATCGTGAGAAACTGATACTCCAAAATGTAGGTACCTACGCACAACTGACAATAATCCGTTCGATTTCAGGAGCTGGTGTTAACCACGGACGGGGATCGAAGGCTGAGCCCTCACACCAGCCGGATAGTGGTGAGCAACTGTTCATCGGTGATCCTGATGAACTCCAGTCTGACCTCGATGATTGGCCTACGGTCCGTGGATCTTATCAACGTGGCGAACCTAAGCCTGGTCAGACAGAGCTTCGAGCTGTCGTCGCGCACCACACGCACGCGTATCACCGTTAGGAACAGCAGCATCGACACTATGCCAAGCTTCGTTTTCCGCGGCGACGTCGAGGCGATCAGTTTCGAGAACGTGAGGATCGGTCAGCTGAGCGCGTTCTCGTTCGCGAATCTCGTGCAAACGGACACACTCAGGCTAGAGAACTGTCGTATCGAGAGCATGGAGGCGCAAGCGTTCAAGAAGTTCGACGTCGATTATCTGCACGTGATCGGTGGAAGTTTCGGGGATCAGGTGCCAAGCAGGACGATGAACGACATCGAGGTGTACCACAAGTTCATGCTGGACGGGGTAAGAATGGGCACGGTTCGTAGCGACGCGTTCATCGTGCGAAGCCCACGAACTGTGGCGATACAGAATTGCATAGTGGAGAGTTTGGAGAGCGAGGCGTTCGACGTAACAGCGCGCGGCGCGGTGATCGTGAAAAACAACACGTTCGGTAGCTTAGCGGTGGGATCGTTTCTTGGTATACGAGCGGATCCAGAGTCGAGGACACCGCCAGGTTCTCTGCCGACGTACCTGCACGATCTAATCTTCAAAAATAACAGCGTGGTGAATTTCGAGGAGGGCTCGATGATGTTCGATCGGGCCAGTTTTCGGTTGGAACTGGACAATCTATTGGTCGAGCAACCGTGCGATTGTCAGATGTTGCCCGTATGGAAGAACAACATTCTCAATTACACGACCGTATACTCGAGGTTCTACACCAGACAGAACTCGGTGTTACCGCCCACGTTCTCGCCCCAGGACTCGATCAACGAGACCCCAGAGACATTTCTGTGCACGGACGGCGAGATAGATGGCGTGCCGATCAGTTTCACAGAGTACGAGTCCCGTCATTGTTCCCTGGGCGGGTCAGTGATGGTGTTCGTGATCGGGATCGCGGGCCTGCTCGCGTTACTGATCCTGCTCGTCTGTCTGATCGTCTGGTGCTGCAGAAGGCGACGTCGGAACAGCCGGAAGAAATGGATCAGCGTGCCGACGAACACACCCGACGTTGTCTCGAAGAAGAACGGCGTGATCGGTCGTGAAGCTACCGCGTCCACCGCGCCGGTCGACAGCCGGATAACGATGGTGGTGCCCGATGGAAGGCTTTACAGGGAGACGGAGTTCCATGTGATCGTCGAGAAAGCGGAACCGTTGACCACCGAGTTGTAACGAGAACCGTCACACGGAGGCGACGTCGCTCGTGTCGAAGAAGAACTCGAGTGGTCGGACACACCGAGCCGTTTCCGTGTGTACAAGCTCTGAATCGTAGTCTGCTGAGGAACACTGTGTCTGTGGTACAGGTGACCAACAAAGCGTGACGGAGGAGCACGTGCACCCGGTTTCACGCTGCGAGAGGACAGTTTGAACAGCTTGTGTGTGTATGTGTGTGTGTGTGATACAACGTGCGATCGTGACTGTGACTGACCAGCGGATCGGAGTGAAGGTTCCAAGAGCTAGAAGACTCTAGAGCCTATCCTCTATCGAGAGGAAGGTTCCTCGAGGTTTTTCACGTACTATTTTACCGATAAGCAGCGCACCGTGAGACGAACAGAGAGCAGGGGATCTCGAAGACTCTTCGTTTTCAATTTAACCGACTATCCTTTAGTACAAGACAGTTCGTAAGCTTCCATTCACATATCACGAACGAGCGCCAATTATCCGGTATGCGTACCCAACCGACTATCCCCTATACACATCTCCGTCTGCCATGTTTTTCCGGAGCTTTTAACATGGTCACGTTCGTCTCGATGATTTATGAGCGTTTTCTTGAACGGTGGAGATTGTGTCCATGCGTCATGGATAATCGGCCCGCGTTGTTAGTTAAGTTTATCGTTTAAGTAGCTTTCGGAGGACGACGGCCAGTGTGTCGTTCGCAGAGATTGGCAACCCCTAGCTTCGCTGAGCTGACGCCGAAGCGGAGAGAAGAAAGAAGAGCAAGGATGATCGACTTTTTCATCGGTTTACCTATCGCTGAACATGCTTATCAAGCTGTCTACGGTTGGACCGAATTTAGTTGTCTATTCGAGGTCGCTACCCTGTATTGTATTCAACGTGTGTACCTGCGAGGAATCGCGCATAAAACTGAGAACGAAATAACGAAGAAAGAGGGGCGGGTAGCGGTCTTCGACCACCTTGAATCGATTGATTTCGTCGCTGCTGCCAGCGGACCCGCTCGCTCGAAGAGCAGTGCCATTCCTATAGAAAAACGTCAGTTCGTCCATATTCGATTCGAACGGACACGCGTTGTTCGATCCTTGCGAGAAATAAAACGAAATAGAAGGTAGCCGAATATCTGTGACACCGAAACGAAACGCCCGAGAACCACTGTAAATGATGATCTCTCGAATTAATAGAGCGTTTCCTCGTTGTGCTTGTAACACAATAAAAATATTACCTGACATTCCTTGACAATACGGATATGAATCGATGGGACAACGCACGCGGTTGATAGTTCTTAAGGGCTGTGCGAGAAGAGACAGCGTGTGGAAGATCAAAATCCCAGAAAACTCTCAAAAGTGTTCGAAACCCTTTATTCGCGGGGGGGGGGGGGATCCGTTGATTTACTGTATCGTTTTGTTACTGCGAACCGCGTATACATAATTCACGAGCTTGGGTTATACACATCGCCAATAAATTGTTGTTATTGTTATCATCTGCGAGATCAGTATCTATAATTTTGATAAACGCGACGAGACGCGGGTCACCGCGGGACGTTATCGATTCGGCTCGCGTCCCCGCTAATCTCGAAACGGACCACTCAATAACGGCCCCGGCATAAATTTACGTCCCGAGACCCGAACTACACTGGCGGCGGTCACCGTCATATTACACGAAGCTAGTCGAGGTTCCATTACCGGTAATTAATAAACTCTCCGGGCTAATCTGCGAGAAATTTGTTCCTAGCCCCGTCGTCGGAGGCCAGAGGAAAAGATAGAAACGGCAGTGGTGGGATTCGAATAATTTAACAACCGGTTCGCAACTGCAATTTTGTTTTCAAAAATGAACACAACAAACTTATAATGAAAATTTCATGAAATAACCAAGTCAATACGGTTACAAGTATCATTTCAACAACCGGTTTGGCGGAACTATAAAACTGCGAACCGGCTGAATCTCATCACTGAAAAACGGTATTCCTCGATTTGGGGGAGGGGGGGCAGATTTCGAGAAATGAGGAAAACGGCTGGACAAGCGATTCGTTCGCCGACGAGAAGGGGAATTTGCGTTTTAAAAGTGGAATGCAAGCACCGTAAGCTACGCTCTTTGTCCCTCCCTTCCATGTGCACCTATCTCGCGCACGTGTGGCCCATGCATTATTGATGCATCGACGCTCGACCCCGCAGCGTGCGCCGCGGACTTTCGCGACGTGTTGTTTCGTTTCACGCGGGCCCCCATGCAGAAATTGATCCTCGGAGCTTTTTCAGATTGTTCAACGGCCTTCGGAGCGCCCGGCAGCCTTGAACGGCGTCGAGAGGTAGGGGCCGATTAGCGGCGATCCGCGAAAGGAGCCCAACGCTCCAGGGTATTTACGAACTGATCGCGCACAGGCGGGTACACGCGTGCAATTTATTATCGTATGACGAGGCGCGAATTACGTTTTGTAACGACGGTTTAGTTTTAATTATCGTGAGACTGTGATATAACGACAGCCGACTATGCATATAATTTGTTCTACCACTGAACGTGTGTGCACGTGGTGACCATCGATGACCAGAAAGAGAGAGAGAGAAAATAAAGAAGCTGATGCGTATAGAACAATACTGACTCAATCGATATTCTCAAAATACATATACCTCTACGCGCTTCGCGAGCCTGATCCTAATCTCCGTCCCTTCTGCACGTGTGCAATGTAAATATGGAATAAATACGACGTATTTACCACAAAGTTCGCAGGGACCCTCTGCCGCATCGATCAACGATTATTTTCGGTCGCTGGTGTGGAAGCAACGGGACGGAAACACGACCGCGATTGTTCGGTAGATGCGATATCCTGTCGAGTCGCAGGAGAGAGGGGTTATCAAACGTGGATGGTACCTTCGGAGATAAATTGTTGAGAGATGGTAACAAGGGTAATTTGTACAGGACGAATCGTGCGGAATTTGACCGACCGGCATTGAGGCCGCAGCGCGCATGCGCAAGAAACTGTACAACCGACGAGGGATATCTAGGAACTTGCCTTCTGATTCACTTAAATCGACCTGTATACGAGTCTTTTTGTCCTGCTTATTGTTTAATTCAATCGATCCGTTTCCTATACTTAAAAATATATCCATATCTCATGGAACAATCTATCCATCAGTCACTAACTCGTAAAGCAGACAGACTTTACAATGGATGACCTCTAGGATTGGCTCTTGAACCCATTTCTAATTAAATTTCAATGAGAATAGCTCTTAAGAACGACAAAGACTCTCATGGTAATATTAACGAAGAAGATTTTGTTCGTTGAATGGGAAAGTACCATTTGTCGATTAATTCCGGCATTGTTATCAGCAATGGCATTCGTCCATTCTTAGCTCCATTTCTTTACCGACGCCCGGTCGCGTAGAAATATTATGGTTTTGTACTCACCTGAATGGAAGAACTCCGTCGAGAGCCTGGGAGACGGTGGGAGGTGACGACAGGGCGAATCCTCGTCCAAGTAACGTTGAATGCACGGAGAAAATCCTCTCTGCAGTTTCTTGCATCGACTCCAAATCCTCTTCCACTTCTTCGTCTAAAAGGATACGAATAGATGCGTTTAAATGCCGATATGTACGGTATATAAGAAATTCATTTTCTACTTCAAATGATTTTTATGTGAGACGCACTACCAACTAGACACGACGGACGTGGTTTCGTAAAAAAGAAAATGTTACATGTGGTAAGGGAACATTGACTCCAATTCTAATACTCAATGTGTAAATTGCTGTCAGACAAATCAGAACCTATGAATGCCATTACAGTGAGATCACAGTAACATTTAAAACCAACACCATGTACAGAAAAAATTATTTGTTGCTTTATCGACCATCGTCTGATACCGTATATGTATGTACTATACTTCGTAAAGTCACTACAGAAAAATTGATTTTTCCTAAGATCGGTATATCAGGTTTGAGTAACAGAAATATCCGTAAGATGCTAAATCTACCCAACAGATTTATAATAATACATACTGGAAACAGGTGGCAATCCAAGATTCTTCTTCATAAGACTCGCCGCACAAGCTCCACCAAGGAATGATAATTCAGTTTCCAAATTTTTCAAACCATTCCCAGACGTTATCCAGTCGTATCCAATAACCAGACATTTAAACCCGTACGTAATAGCTTTCTCGTTCTTCGTGTAATCCGACGCAGTCTCCAACGAAAATATCACTTCGTTCCCTGAAATAATGAATCCGTTGGTTTATTCAAACATTCATTATAATGTTTACAGTTTCACTGTGCGACAACATTTACCTGGTAATACGACCGCGTTCTGAGGCCATTGGTTTTGTACATTGCTCATTTTGTGTAATACTGACCACTGTAAAGGTATATCATCTGCTAATGCGTTTATGGATGTTCTAAACGTACAAAAGATTCAATAAAGATACGGTTTGGTTACGGCATTTATATGTAACGTGAACACCAGTTATATTTACCCCGTGGATGAATTTAAGACTAGATTGGGAATGTAGAGTTGTAAGTAATCTTCTGGCTGGGCTGTACCACATTCTGGTGTAAATTCAAGGGTCATCCATTTAACCGTGTCGGGAAACGACACTTTGTAATGGGACACCGTGGCAGGTTTATAAGGGTGATCGCTTTCCAACCATGTGTAGTGATGACTAGTAGTAATGGGCGGAGATACGTGGGACTGAACCTCACTGTTCTGAGATATTTGAGACGATCCCATCGTAGATAACAAATTAAGTGCAGCAACGTGTGGAAGCATCTCTTGTATTAAAGTGAGAACCTGTACTCCGCTCTGAAAGAAAAAAATGTGTAATCGAAATTATAGCTTCGAAAGATATATAAAAACAATAGACTTTACCCTGGGATCCGAAGTAGCTAAGGGACTGATATGTGCCATGACCAACGGTAAAAGGGTTGTCACAAATGTCGCATTTCCAAGAACTTCAGTGGCTACCACTTCTTCTGCCCTTTCTCTCGCTAATGCGAAAATTTCATTGGATCGTTGAATTATCGTTGCTGTCATAGCAAGAGTACATTTTCTTGCTTGCACTTCAACCATCGCTTTGCTCGTATGTTGACCATCAGAATCTTGAGGATTCGAGTAATATAGGATATGTGGTATCTGACCTCTCGTTTGTGTTGTGCCTGCGTAGATAAAAGGTGATGGTTTATTTTCGTACAAAAGATATTAACATTTCTCATTTAAACACATACCATTAACACTCAAGGAACAAGCCGTAAATGTAAAAGTTGATCCATCCGGTCCTTTCACAACGCTCAGGCCGCCATCACCGTTACTTGTACGTCCACCGCGGTTTCTCAGTCTAATGGCATACTTGATGTTTTCTTTTATGGGTACAGGTTTATCGAACTTTAATTCTACTATGTCATTCACGCAGTCATCCGGGCCGAACGAGCCACGCGTAAAATCCAAACTGCTCCAACGTTGAGTGTGAGATGGATCGTTGCCTGTGTTATTTTGCTGTAAAATTTACAACATCATAATAATTTAGATAAACTGACGTTCACTACGAATAATTTAAAGGACAGTAGTACGTACATCATCAAGTAGTTCCAACTCGTAATCGCAGACTCCAACACCACCGTAGATGCCGACACCGGCAATAACAGTTCCAGGTCGATCGACAGAAAAGCAAATTGCATCCGGCGAACCGTTACCAGTGTTCCACGATCTCGTCTGATTTACTCGAGTGAATCTCGAGGGTGTGGTGTACATAAGCCTGCCGCAAGCGACCTGAAGTTCATCTTCGTTCCCACTCGACTGTGCAGCCAATTCAGCAATAACCCTCGCCAACAAATAACAGCAATGAAGAACCAATTCCGGCAGTGATTGAGTTTTTTCTCGACAAAGACTTTTCTTCACCGGTACTAGAATTAAATCTAACAGCCTATCCAAAACATCACGAAACGTCCAATTCAACGTCTCCTTGCCAGAATTTTCCACCTGTGACTTGTAACTAATTTGCTCGACTAAAATTGGATACTGATGGTTCTCCGTTGAGCTTATCATCAGTAAGCCGGTATTGTCCGATGGACTGAGCTGCCGCTTTATGCTGTCGTTACTATCCATAATATTATTCAAAATTGGAAATGTACATCGCAGACGGATAGTAGGATTGCACAGAGAAGCTAGAACCGCGGATAATAACCTATCCTTTGTAGTCCGACCTTGTTCCTGTAAAATACCGCAAGTTTTAAATTACTCAATAAAGATGTTTCGTCTCAAAAATAATTCGGAATATTTACCTTATCGATTTCAGATAACAGTTCGTACAGACATGTCCACTTTAAATATGCTGTCGGATAAAATGCGTGGTAACAAGCTACAAATGTTTTATGACATTCATCCAAGATACTATTGGTCAGCTTATGATTTATGGCACCAGAACCTACATTTAACGACATCATTTACATTTCATAATTATAAGAAAAAAAAAAACAAATTTAAGAATATAACACAGATGCTGTATATAAAAACTCACTTTTACTTGTTCGTGTTTTTCCTTTACTTTTGGTACTGGATGGCACAGTGTCAGACAATATTTGATGCAAAAGAGCACGTACTTCACCTATGCATTCTGCCAGACGCACAGACTCGGCCGGAGTTTTCTTGCAAACTGTAAATCATTAATATTACATTAAAGTGTAAATCGGTACAAGGATCGAAATTGATTACATACTTTGATTTGGATAAATCTCATTGGTGTAAGTTCTAAGTAATCGTAAACTGGCTTTGCTAATGTAAACCAAGCGTTCCATTTCAAGTAATACGTGATACGAAGGAGTAGTATGGACCACCGTGTCATTTAATGATGCTTTTAATGTATTCCAACTCCATTGCAGAAGGGATATTAATGACTGAAAACATTCCTAGAAAAAAGATACTTGGTAAATAACTTTTTTTATATCTTCCTCATTAAGATAGTAAACACGTACTTTGGTAACTGTTCGACTAAAATCTTTTTTTAGTACATAGACTGGTTCAATTTGATCTCTTTGTCTGTTAGGAGTTTGATTTTCGGGTGTGACTACTCGATACAATAATTGTGGAATTTGTCCAGCGTTCACATCTGTTCCATTATTAGATCGTTTTGAAGATTTAAAGTAAAACATAACTCTGAAAAAAGTTACAAATATTATAATATATTTTAAATTTTAATCATTCACTTATGGTTACACTTACTGATCCTCAGCCGTCACCATTCCCTGACCACCAGAGCCACAATCACTCGAAGGTCCACTGACTTTAGCCCAAGCAACGTACCACCTATTTGCTTGTAAAGAAATTGGTTCATCGAATAGAATGGAATATTTTTGTCGAAGTCCACATTCATATGGTATTTCGTCCGATTCTGCCAAAAGTTCGCCGTCGTTTTCTTGATCTCCTCCATCCATTCCAATATCAAAAAGCTGTAATGATCCACATAGCATTATTTACAACATAATTTATAAATACATAAATGTATAACTAGTACTTACTTTTATTTTTGCCGTATATTCTCCACGACCGCCAAATAAACCGTATCCACCAAGTAAAATATCAGTATCGGGCATAAATCTAATAGCTTCGATGGAATGAGCGGAATAGCCCCAACCACCACCATGACCTAAAGTATATAAAAATATAGACTAATAAATGTAGCAAAAAGGATTAATTATTTCTTATCGCTTTTTATACGCACTTTCAAATCTGTTAACTGTAACAAAATCCTCGCGACTATACACTTTGCCGTGTGTTGCCTGATTGCATTCGTTCTCTTCAATTATAGACAAATTTTCATCTTGAGCCTGCGTTAGGGTATCCAAACACCCCAATAAATGCATTGCAGCTTGAGAACGCGTTACAAAACAATTTGATATTACAGGCAGAGCCAAGCCTGGGCTCAGAATAGAAACTTCCAAACCCGGAATCGTTCTAGCTTCCGTGGATATAATGTTGTACAAACTTATTTCATTATTTGTCGGATTGAAAGTCCAAATCACGTTATACAAAGGATCTAAACACGTTGCGCAACTACTGAAGTCGACTTGATCTGATCCGCTGTAACTATTGCAAGTGCCATCCCTTTTACTTATGACTAAACATTTGAATGAATTCGCATGATCATTTTGATGCGGAATCAAGACTGAAACAATTTTTTGAATCGGTTAAAATTATTTGCAACAACGTAGTAATGATGGAACGGCGATTTACAAAAGAAGAACATACTTATGCAGTTTTTATTTGCCATAACAGTACTCCTTGTTAAACTAATAGAATTTATTTCATCAATTTTGACATAAGTCTGATCTCCAGTTGCACCGACCCATGTTGCTCGTCTGCCCCATCGTGGACCAATATTCGGGACTAAATTTGGAAAGCTATGCCACGGTTGCGTTCTGTCAGACCGTCGACTAGCTTGAGTAGTGGTATTTGAAGATTCGTTTTGCCCGTTCCACCAATTCATGCCCAATTGTCCTTTCTGTGTATAACAAACGAAAAGTATGAAAATATTATAACTGAATCAGGGTGATAGTGAAATATTAAGGATAATACAAACTTGGTAAGCTCCGAACGTATACACTTCGCCCTTTGATGTTAGTATAACGGTATGATTACTTCCAGCGGCAACCTGTGTAGCTATCCCTGATATCTTTACATGGACGGGTCCAGCGTGAGCGACTAAATCTCCTATACCTAACTGGCCGTATATGTTGCTTCCAAATGTATAAACTTCTCCATTTTGTAAAAGGACGACTACATAATTAACGTTATAATTAGTCAAATTCCCATTAATAATTTGCTGAACAGGTATGGACGAAGTATTTATAGATTACCTGTGTGATGCAAACCACACGATACTTGAAGCACAGGGCTTTCGCTGGGTATAGGAACTCTAGCTGGTGGTATACTAGCAATTCTTGTTGCATCACCTCGTTCTATATCACTTCCTCCAACACCTTCCTCAGTCATTAAGTAGCTACTAAATCCCAATACGATTTTCCCAACACAACTTTTCTGTGCCACACTCGGCCCCGCTGTTTAATACGAAATTTTTCCATTAGATTAAATTACACAACTATTTTTATTTCTTATATATGCACACGGGACACCTATTTTACGAAGACATCTACCCAATCTTTGATTATTCGGACCTTTCGTCTTCATTGTATACTTCGCAGTGCTCGGGCCTGCCTTAGTCCTCTGCCTCTGCTTGATTTCACCTAAACGTCTTTGTAAATATTTCCGATAGTTTGAACTCGTTTTCCCTAAAGAGTTGTAAAAGTAAAATGTAAGTAGATTGAACTGATGTTAATATTTATAATTCTATAGGATTGAATATTCACCGATATAACAACTTTTCCTGGCACAGGTGCGACAACATCCACACTCTGCACATCCACTATCGCCTTCACCGCATCCACATTCCCTAAAAGCAAATACATTCAATCCTTTCTGATATAAAGCACTCACTACATGAGATACTTACTGGCCAGGATTTCGATCGGGACATATACTACTCCTACAGGATATACTGTAGCCGGTACATTCTCGACACACTGTGCAAACCATGCAAACACGGTGCTTCCACTGATGCTGTCCTGGAAGACACATACCTCTTGTTTCTTCCCAATCTTCAGCAGGTTCCACACCATCTATTCATAAACAATACAATATTACTTTTTGTATTAGGACAAAAAAATAAGAATTACCCAGTGCATAATTACCTTCTTCAGTTGTTAAAATCTCATCCTCTGCTGTACCCATTTCCATAGCGACGACTGTGGTGTTCTTATTAATGGTATGAACTGTCGTAAACCCCCGACCACACTGTCCTTTATTGTTAATTCCGAACGTATATAGGTGTCCTTTATTAGTTAATGCCGCGGCGTGAGCTTTCCCTAATGATACATGAACAACACAGACTTCTCTGAGATCACTGACTATTCCGGAAGCTGGGTCGCTGTGCAAAGTGTCTTTTCCGAACATCAACAATGAGCCCTCCTTCGTGACTAACGCCGTTGATCCATTATTGCAGGCAGCATCTACGATAAACTGCCCTTCTACTTTTCCTATCTTTTTTGGCTTAACTGGCTTAGGTTGCCGACGAACTTTACCTGAAAATGAAGATTTATACGATATATGAAGAGTATTCCAAAAAATGTTCGGAATTTCATATTATAAATACACAATTTACTTACTACTATCACCGTCTTCCCCGCGTCTTGCAGTACCAGCAAACAAAACTGAGCCATCTTCCAGGATCATAACAACATGTTGACCGTCATGTCCGGCTGCAAAATTTATAAGTCTCGGTCCTTTCCCAAGGGTGAGTTCTACCCATCTGTTAGGCCTTGTATTACTCTTCATACCAAGACTGGTTCCTTTCCCGGTATACAATACCTTTAAAGTATAACGTAAATACCAAATTTCGTATTCCAATAATGTTTACTCACATGCCCAGTTATCACTTACTTTTCCAGACATAGTTTTTAATAAACCAAATTCCTTTCCTGCTGTAATTGTAGCAATTTCATCGTCGCAACCTGGGTTTAATGTATGAACCACCTGTTCTTCATCGAAAGTAGCATATCCGAAGACGTCTACACATTTCCTTGCTAATTTTAATGGTAATTCTGTCGCGACTGTTACTGGATTACTTAACATGTTTATTGTTCTAACTACAAAACCATCCTGTTGAAATTAATAAAATTATGTTTTTGTTATGCACTGATGCTGTATATGTTTGGATATAGATTAATGAATAACTAACGTCTTTTCCAGCTGTTATCATTCCTACACATTCACCATCGGAAAACATAACAGAAGATGACCAATCACGTCCTTCTAAAACAGCAATTCCTGTGACTACCAGCGTTTCAGCATCAATAATTAGTAACTCAGTCTGTTTTCTGGGTGTGCACTTAAAATATAATGTATTCTAAAAAGTGAACCCAATATTAGAAAAATGTTTCTTACAAAATTACACATTAAACATCGACACTAAACTAACATTTGCATAACCGAGCCAACCCGTTTCGGTTGGATGAAAATCTTTCCTCTGAAGGTACATATGACCCCAAATAGTTCCTCCATGACCACTGCCAATTTTTAATAGTCCTCTACTTGTATGCAGATACAGGTACTTTCCATCACTCACAAAACTTCTTCCATTCAGTATTATATTATTTATTTCATTTGGTAACTTAAGCGTAGAAGTATAAATCTTAGAACATTTAGGAACTCCATATGTAATCCAGTCTGGTCGCGCAAGTTTTCCCAGTAAAACAGCCTGCACACTCCTTTGTAATGATGTTAATACACATGGCATCTACAACACACATACTGTTGTCTAAAACCTTCAAATAACAAAGCAAAATGTATAATTATCAATTGAAAAAGAGCATACTTGGATATTTTGAACTGCTAATGCTCTAGGACACATAAGTAAAGCAGCTATTGCTGCTAACAAACGACCAGTATCACCTCTAACAACCACAAGACTCAATAAGCAAGCACAAGCAACAGCTGTCAAATGACTACCATCATTAGCAGCCGCTGATTCAGGGCCATGTGAAGTTGCCAGATCCAATAATAGATCAAAAAGTGGATCTTTAACAAAAAAAATGAAAATTTTACAATATAAGAAATAATTAATATGTGTAAAACAAATAAGGACTTGTACACTTTACCAATAACATCATCAGGTTCAGATTTGAGGCCTTCAGGAAGTTGTCCTTGTAATATATCCAATAAAGCAGATAATGCTTTTGTACATAAAAGTGGTTCAATTGTTCTACTCTCTCTCATTAATGTGAAAACACTTCTTAAACCAATACCTACAATCTAAAGGCATACAGAATTAAACAGAATTCTTTTCATATATCCAATATGCACTTAATTACTACCTTTGGTAAGCTCTGTATAGTTGATATCCTATCTTCATCGTCACTTTCTGTATCAATAGTTTCACTAAGCTCTGGTGGTGCTGGAAAATTGCAATTTGATGCTCTATAAACTTCACTTGTTGTCCTGGCATGTCTGTTCAAAATAGCACTTCTAACACCAGCAAATACAGCAAATGCAGAAGCATTGCAAGATAGCTCTACTTCTGGTGGGTTATTGTAATTTAAATCTCCACATAAATCAATCTGCAAATATTTTAAATATAAATGAAATCTCATCATAAGAAATATTTATAAATAAGAACAACCAAGGATACCTTTTTTTTGTCTCTTTTCCTTATAGATTTATTTTTTTTACATTTTCTCCATTCTTCTTTTTGTCTGAAAACCATAATATATAATTCAATATGTGAAATAACTGTAGTATAACAGAAATATTTTGCTCAAACCAATTGTTTAAATTATTTTATACATTTACATCTATAACAGGTACAAGTATAATGATAGATATACTTCTACATTTATAAAAAGTAATAGTATTTCATTTTTATTGATCAATAAGTTAAATAAATATTTCATTTCTATTGGTGAATAAGTTAAATAAACATTTTATTTCTATTAGTAGCCAAATTAAATACTTGCAATTACGAATTTTTTATTATTATCATGTTTATTGAACACGACGAATTAAAAACATCTGAAAGAAAGTGACAAAAAAGTCGGTGTTTTATTTACGCGAGAGAACTATCAAACTGACAGTTCCTGAAGCTCAGATTAATTATAATAAACAAACTATTTTAGGTTACTTTGAAAACCTAAGATAATTATCATGTGTTTGTACGATTTCATGATGCTGAGCAATATATTGTGTAATAATAAGTGTAAGCAAATAGATTTTTTTATCATAATCATTGAGTTCGATAAATGACAGATGAAGTCACCGCCAAAAGCGTCAAGTAAACAAAGCATGAGGGAGGTTATACGCGTTTCGCACCTCTGCGCCTCGGCGATGCTTTTGAAGAGATCGTAGAAGCATTTCGCAAAGTTCTCCGGCTCGGGCAGCAACCTCTCGTGGTCCCCAGACACCATGTTGTACACAAAATTTTAACGTACGAATCACCAATTCATTTTCGTAATACTATTGATCGTTGACATTCTCCTGCCATCCCCATGTGATTCCATCGCACGGTTTATAAAAAGGGCCATTCGACAATTTTTATTGAGATATTTATTTGTTTCATCTGCGATTTTAAATTAACGGGCGACATACAATTTAACAGTCTATTACTTTTATAATATTCGAAAACGGCCAAAGATCCGCTTCTGACGTATGTTAAGAAATTCGTCTTGAAAGTTACACCGGCGGTTAAAATAGTTGTGCACCCCACTCCGACGTTTCAAGCACACTAGGCTAATGTCACTAGCTGGAATAGGAACTCTATCTTATGCCGTAATATTTAATGGCCGATACACAGCGCCATCATTAGAAATGGCGTGAACTGCTACTTGTAAATCACTCGTGATTCGATCACGTTCGTTCCCAATCACGGTGTTTTTTCAAAGTGAATCGTGATTTCTCGTGATCGTTTCTGATTGGTGGAAAAACCTAACAGTTCTTTACATGCAACACATAATCTGTATATTTTATATTAATGATATCAAAACAAAAATTCGAGTTATATCGTATAAAGTAAAGGAATAATTAGAAACAATGAAGAATAATGACAAAATTAATGATTATAAATTATAATCCACATGTTACCTAGCAAATCAGTCTTTTAGAATTTTTTGTTTTTTCTACTGATTTTTACAAACACGAATAGTAATGTAATTCATCGTAAAATCATATTGAATACGTTTTTCTGTTTAAAGATCAAGGACTTACGATCGCAGTGAGCAAATTCACTCAAGATAAAAAAATCGCAATCACGGTCATAAATGAAGTTAAATCACGACCGAATCGTGATTCGGTGATTACTCTGATAAATCACCGTTAGTGATTTTGCACGCCATCTCTGACTGAAACCGTTTTGTAATTTGATTATTTGTATGCAATCCTTTAAGAAATAGCAATTCTTTTTGAAATTGTCACAGCTTCTATATAGATGAAACTGTGCGTTTGATGTAGTAAGAGACCCCGTGTGTGTGAACCAGTGGGGTCACAGAACCCCCGGTGGTGGTGCCAGGGACATCGTCTGGAGAGAACGTGGGGTCATAGAACCCCCGTTGGAGGCGCCAGGGACCCGTGGGGTGAGACCGTGGGGTCATAGAACCCCGGGAGATGGTGCCAGGGACCCGGGTGGTGAGAACGTGGGGTCATAGAGCCCTAGGAGATGGCGCCAGGCACCCCGGGGTGGCGAAACGTGGGGCATAGAGCCCCGTAGATGGCGCCAGGGACCCCGTGGTGAGGACGTGGGGTCATAGAAGCCCAGTAGATGGCGCCGGGGACCCGGGTGTTGAGAACTTGGGGTCATAGAACCCCCGAAGGAGGTACCAGAGAGCCCGTGTATGTGCGCAAGTAGGGTCATAGATCCCCCGGAGCATGCGCAAGAGTTTTGCAACGTGATCCTTTATCGTTGTTGCTCCTACGAGTCTTGAGCTCAGTCTAATGTTGCTCGTGCAACTGTCAAAATTTGACTGACACTTGTGCGCGCTCCCGTGAGCAAATTATACAGTAACCCCAGCAACCATGGCAGTTTCTGCAGATACTACTACAGCCCAAGTTTAAAAGACGTAGGCAGTACTTAGTTTCTGCAGTAACCTGTTGAACCAGACAACTATAATTGGTATAGGACTGTACAATATTTATGCAGTTATATTTAAGACAATTCGATGAAATGAAGCTTATATTACCTGACGTATGTTTATTGGAATATACATATAAATTATAATGATATAAAAGTTTGAAATACAATACGATACGCTACGGTACTGCGTTCGGCGCAGTGCGCTAATACGGAGGCCAACGAAATGTCACTGTACACTTAAAAAAGTTTTAAAGTTCCATTTATATCATTGTCCTGTGAAAATGTTCATACTTCCAGCAACATTCATATTCCAATCAAAGAATTTACAGAATAAGGAAAAGGAATCTAAAGTAATTTTCAGTAG